TTTGGACATCCACACTGTGCTTCCAAAATAAAATAAAAGTTATAAAGAGATCAGTGATGTTGTTGCAAAGCCAGAGAGGTAATTGTGCACTTGAGCACACTTTAGTGTATTTGCTAATTATAAGCACCATTTCAAATGGGCTTTCACAGAAGAGGCTTCTGTGTGACTACAGGTGAGTAGACGGAGTGTTGTTAAACTCGTAACACTCACACAGTGTGTACTTCTGGGGAAAAATAGTCAGTCTGCATACAAATATTTACCTGTGAGTGGAAATACTGTGTATGCATCTTGTATTAATCCTGACTGTTGGTACTAATAAAATTAACAAAGGCTCTATTCTGTGCTTTCAAGTAAACAGTGAAAACAGTGTTTTTATAAGACCTTTAATAATCGTGTATTACCAGTTTTTCATTATAATTTAGTGTATCTTATGTTTATACGTAGATTTACTCTTAAACAAATCAGACTATTTTATTTTTCATAAAAAAGTCTTAAAATCTTGTTGTGCAGTCTGAATGTTTGAAGTTTATTCATTTCCTTTGGTAAAAAGCTTTTATCATCTAAAACAATATTTTTATTGGTCCCTTTTAGTTTTGTTAATTCAAAACATAAACACAGCAGGTTATGGGCTCATTTAAAGCTTACTGATAACTTTGTTCATATTTTAATGTTTTAATTAATAGTTTGGTCAATTTCACAATTATGTGTATTCGTTTTTACCTTGTAAAAATATTAACAACTAAAGATTTTAAAACCTCAGTGTCTCCTTTTTTGCTTTAAACTTAGGTAACGTCTCTGAAGGTGATGCTGGATTTCCACATTTGTCTGGCAGTTTGTTTCCCTTCTTTCTTACCACAGTAAATAAAAGTTTCAATAAGGTCTCTGTGGTTCGTTTGAAACAAACATATGATGACAAGTTTTGTGGATTTGAGTTTGCTGCTCGTGCTGAGATTAAAAACGCAAAGGATAAGACCGCCATCATGTGGTTATTCAAAAGAACTAAGTAGTTCAAAATCAAAGGGCATTCCTATGAAGAACAAAGGTGAATTATATAATCATATAATGGTGCTCTGTGTTGGTCTTTCTGGGGGGGGAGTAGTTTACAGTAATTAGTAAGGTAACATTTCTTTGCCAAAGCTGGATTTTAGCATTTTAAAAAGATCCAGTCGTCTGTGGTCAGAACTGTTGAAACCAAAGAAAAAAGATTTGGTCTTGTTCTGTTTCTTTGTACGTAGAGAACTTATCTTTACTCATATATGACATTTATTATCATGTACAAATGTTTTACATAAACATGAACACTTCTCATTTGACAAAGTTATTTGGCATGTAGAGGATCTCACAGAATTTCAAAGATATCTGTGTGTTTTTGTTTGTTTGTTACTGAATGAGATAAATAAATAAACCCTGACACTTGTCAGTATACTGTTTCTCAGAAAAATGCATTTAGCAGTCTTAAATCCAGATCCAAAGCCAGGCCGGACAGCAGCAGCACAGAAAATGGTGTCAGGTTTCTGTTACGTCTGACAGTAAAAGCAGAAAAACAAAACCGTATTCAACCATGCAATAAAAAAAGAAGCTACTCTCAGCTCTTGCCACAAGGGGTCACCACAGAATTGGCCGCTCATGCTGATACAGTCCCAGGGGCAGTGCCTGTGCGAATTCGCAAAAATAAAACTGTTTCTGCAGCATTTTTAAAGCAAAGAATAATTTACTGCCAAAAGATGGTGTGAAATTTTTATTTCAGAGGTTTTTGGTGTGCAGATGATCACAAGGAGACGCCTTCTCTTTAGCACCAAAATCACACTTTATAAAATTAGTATAAATCAAAATGACCTTTCTCTCACGTTTTTCTGCAGAAGCTACTCAAGCTCTTACATGGCCCACAATCTACTGTGAACTGAAAACAGATGAACCTGTTCAAGGCAAGTTTCACGCTGGATATTTTCTCCTGATGTCACACAAAAGCATTCAGACTGGCCCACTGCTCTGAATGTGTACACGGCACCCACTCAGGTAAGAGATCTTTCATCATAGTCTGTGCTAAAGAGGAGTGAAAAAATTAGACTGTGGGAGAGAGTAATACGAATATAGTACAATGTAATACTACAAATAGTATCGCAGGTACTACACCAAATTGCAAAGCTTCTGTTTTATTTGCTTTGCAAAGGGTGGACGAGTGTTTACACTGGTTCTGGTTGTTTATTTAACAAGAATGGTACCTACTGGACCTCAATATAAAAAATGTAAGTAAACTGCTATTTACATTAGACGCCCCTGGGCAGGTCACATTGATAGATACAGCACAATTCAATTCAATTTTATTGAAATAGCACCAACTGACACCAACAGTCGCCTCAAGGTGCTTTGTGTTGTAAGGAAAAGCACAACAAAACGCACACAGGAAAGACAAATAAAAATATGTCACACTGGCTTAAACGGGATCACAGGTCTGGTTTTCATAAGCCACCTTGAGATGTGCCTTCAAATTGGACATATAGCATTTTTCTTTATTAGTACGCTATATTAGTATTTGCTTCCCTTCAGTGACAGCAATTTGTCCAACTGTGGTTCACCTGCAAAGCCGTTCCCAGCCCCTTCTAGCCATGTCCCTGGGTCCAATCTCACAGGCACTCTTTGGTTTAATAGATTCATTTAGAGGAGTGCAGGAGTTCATGCAACCTTATTTAGAAAACGGGCATCTCAGAGCTCCAAAGCTCAACATTGATTTTTATTTAGGGGGTTGAGCTAGACTCTGATATACTTGAGTTAAACATACTTTACAACTCATTTACAATGCAAAGCTCCTTACCTTGCAGGGCTACACTGTAATGCATCATCTCTACTGGTGAGATTTTGTAAACATCTACGATCATTTTAATCATTTGTGCTTAACGTGACACTGAGACAATCTTATTTAAGTCTTATTAAATATTACAGTTAGCATTCAGAAGATGAATTGTGTTTCTGTCCTTTCAGTGTTCAGAGGGTCCTGTTTTGCTTGGTCACTGCTCCAAAACCATTATGTCATTGTTCCCCGAGTCACCTGTCAGGGAGTCGCACCAGGCGGCAGCATCAAGCCTGTGTTGGTTCGCCCTGAAATAAAGTGCATTCTGATGCATCGCATTTAAGACGCATTGGTCACAACTAGCTTAAAATGTGTACAAAGCTTTTAATATAGCTCTGTGAATTCAGTGTATTGACCGGCGCACAAGGAAACTTAAATCCACATATTTCTAAATGGAGTTCGGCGACGGTTGGTTTCTCTAAACGTCCCAGATCCAGTTACCGCTGGTTACAGCAACGACATTTAAATGGAATGATAAATATTCAATGCGAGCCCTGCTCGGCACCCTGCTAATTTTCCCAGATGGCTAACGGCTAAGCTAACCGGTAAACTCGTGTTGTCAGTGTCTTTAATCCAAACTCTGTTGGTTTTGTACCCCAGATCGTGCAAACCACGGGGCGCAATAAAAGTCTATAAACAACGTAAGTGAAAACTGTATTTCACTGGATTTTGTGGGGACCAAAACTATACGTTAGAAGAAGAAAAGCAAACCCAGTCAGTCCAAATTGACATGATTCTGCCGAATTGACTTCCTTACACAACACACGTCACTGTGACGCGTTGCATTCTGGTAAATGCAGTTAACCTAGGTTTAAGGTTGTAAATGTACACGATTTAACCCGACATACGCGTTTTACTGTTTGAGTTTCTCGCGTTTCCAGCTAATGTTCGAACAGGGAAAAGATAAAAATGCAGTCATTTTGATGCTGGTGCGTAGTTGTTTAAACATAGATAAAGAGAAAAAAACTACAAATCCCAGTAACTGACGTCATTACGTATGTACGTCTAGCAACGGCGAACAGCTAAAGGAAAAAACAGCCGCTTCCGTGTTGTTCTTGTGTTATTTTGTAAAATAACTGTCGTTAGCGGAGTCAAAGCTCGCCTGACAGCCTCGCCGGAGTGTGAATATCATGGTTTTGTGAAGCTGACACACAGCGTCAGCCTTTTTTCAGCCAAAATGTCGCTGCTGCAGAGCTCAAAGAAAAAAGACAAGCGTATTTTGTCTGGTACCTGCCCAGACCCGAAATGTCAGGCGAGGCTTTTCTTTCCTGCTTACGGCTCCGTTAGCATCGAGTGTACCGAGTGTGGTCAGCGCCACGAGCAGAAGAACCTGCAGAACGTTGAGGAAGTCACCGACCCCGATGTCGTGCTTCACAATCTGCTCAGAAACGCCCTGCTCGGCGTCACCGGGGCCCCGAAGAAGGGGACCGAGCTGGTGAAAGTGATGGGGCTTTCTAACTACCACTGCAAGCTGTTGTCGCCCGTGCTCACCAGGTATGGCATGGACAAACAAACCGGCAAAGCCAAGCTTCTGAGGGAGATGAACCAAGGGGAGATGTTTGACTGTTCCATCCTGGGAGACAGAGCTTTTCTCATTGAGCCGGACCATGTTTCCACCATAGGCTATGGCAAAGATAGGTCAGGGAGCCTTATATACCTCCACGACACTCTGGAGGAGGTGAAGAAAGCCAACGGCAACAGAGAGTGTCTCATCCCGGTGCATGTGGACGGAGACGGGCACTGCCTGGTCCACGCTGTGTCCAGAGCCCTGGTGGGGAGAGAACTGTTCTGGCATGCCCTCCGTGAAAACCTCAAACAGAACTTCAAGCAGAATCTGGAACGCTACAAGGCACTTTTTCAGGACTTTATAGATGCTGCAGAGTGGGAGGACATCATCAACGAGTGTGACCCTCTTTTCATCCCACCTGAAGGCGTACCCCTTGGACTACGCAACATCCACATATTTGGCTTAGCCAACGTCCTCCACCGACCCATAATTCTCCTGGACTCCCTGAGTGGGATGAGGAGCTCCGGGGACTATTCTGCCACCTTCCTGCCTGGACTGGTGCCGGAGGAGCAGTGCAAGGGGAAAGATGGGAAGCTGAACAAACCCATCTGTATCGCTTGGAGCAGCTCCAGCAGGAACCACTACATCCCTCTGGTGGGAATCAAGAACACGGTGCTGCCAAAGCTGCCACCCCGTCTGCTGCCAAAGGCCTGGGGCGTCCCTCAGGACCTCATCAAGAAGTACATCAAGTTAGAAGCGGATGGGAGCTGCGTGATTGGCGGAGATCGCAGCCTGCAGGATAAATATCTGATGAGGCTAGTTAACGCCATGGAGGAGGTATTTATGGAGAAGCACAGCATCCACCCGTCGCTGGTGGCTGACGTGCACCAGTACGTCTACAGGAGGACTGGCGTGATTGGCATCCATCCAGAGGAGGTCACAGAGGCGGCAAAGAAGTCAGTGATGGAAAATCGGCTGCATCGCTGCCTGATCTGTGGCGCCCTTTCTGAGCTCCACATCCCACCGGAGTGGCTGATTCCCGGCGGTAAGCTCTACAACTTAGCCAAATCCACACACGGCCAGCTGCGGCCGGATAAGAACTACAGTTTCCCCCTCAACAACGTGGTCTGCTCTTACGACCCCCAAAGGGATGTTCTCCTCCCAGACTACAAACTGAGCTCCCTCAACACCTGCAACTGGTGTCACGGCACGTCAGTCCGCCATATCCGTGGAAACGGCTCGGTGGTTTATCTGGATGGGGACAGAACCAACACCCGCTCCCAGGGAGGGAAGTGTGGGTGTGGCTTCAAACACTACTGGGAGGGGAAGGAGTATGACAACCTCCCCGAAGCCTTCCCCATCACGTTGGAGTGGGGGGGTCGGGTGGTGCGAGAGACAGTGTACTGGTTCCAGTATGAGACTGACCCTTCATTGAACAGCAACGTGTACGATGTGGCCATGAAGCTCGTCACAAAGCACTTCCCGGGCGAGTTTGGCAGTGAGATCCTGGTGCAGAAAGTGGTCAACACTATCCTCCATCACACGGCCAAGAAGAACCCGGACGAATACAACCCCGTGTCCATTGACGGGGCTCATGTCCAGCGCCTCACTGATGCCTCAGAGTCTCAGCAGCCGGCGGACCCCCAGCCGCCCACAAAGATCATCCTGACGGGACAGAAAGCGAAGACGTTGCACAAGGAGGAGCTAACGATGAGCCGAGCAGAGCGCAGCATCCAGCAGAGCATCAGCGAGCAGGCCTTCGTCACCCAGAAGCGTCGGACTGACAAACTGAAGCAGGAGCAGAAAGGCCAGGGCCGGACTTCTTCACCCGGAGGCTCTCCAGAAACCTCCTCCTCTTCAGCTCCAGCCACACCCACCAAGTCCTCCTCCCCGTCTTCTTCCAGTAAGGAGAAAAAGATTCGCGTGACTACGAGCGACGGCAGACAGGCCATGCTGACTCTGCAGGCCCACACGACCTTCTCTGAGCTGCAGAGGAGCATCAGCAACCAGTTCAGCGTGCCGCCGGCGCAGCAATGCATCCGCTACGGTTTCCCACCTAAGGAGTTGGTCCCACCAAAAGATGGTGAGGAAAACGAGCCAGTGGCGCTGCAGCATGGTGACAGGGTGACTGTGGAGATCCTAAAAGGCCCAGAGGACAAGAGCCCTGCGGCCTCCATTCCCCGAGCCTCCAGCTCGCACTCTGCCCTGCATTCAGTGAAGAGCGAGGACGCCGTGACGCCCGGAAGAATGAGCAGCCGGGAACTCCAGGACAGCATCGACCTTGAGATGTCCTCCCTCTGTCTCCTAGCAACGTTGATGGGTAAGGTTACATGTAGGGTACCAAGTAAGTTAGTGAGTGAAGCAAAGTAATGTATTATCACAGCAACCTGTGCCACAAGACTGAATGTGACAGGAAGTGTAAGTTTAGGATATTTCAGAGAATAAGATCCATCCTGATATAAAGCAGAGCAAAAGATCTTTGGTCGCACAGCTTACCTGTACCGTACGGCCTTCTGAAGCGAAACTGGCTGCACATAAAAACAAGCTGTGTCACTTTGAGATGTCACTAGAGGAAAGTTATTGTGCTGTAGCTGCAGCTTCTTTTCACTTTAAAGATGCTGTGAATCCTCCATTCTTTGCTGACGTGTGGATTCGAATATCACAGCCGAGACACTGATTACGTTCTTTGAAATCAGTGATCGTCTCCGTTTTCAGCAGATAGTGGGCCTGTCTTGAAATCGTCTGCCTTATTAAATGAAATCCATGCTGGATTCAATTTTGCAAAGGGCCAGATTTGATCCTCAGGCTTTGATTTTGTCACATTTGATCTAAGATATAAAAGCTTGTTGGTCTGATTGAAGGCTGCCAGGAGAAAACTATTTTTGTTTGTGTTGTTCTGCACTTCAGGAGCTAAAACCTGCTCGTCAGGTTTAACAGCCAAGTGGCTGCTGCTACTTTCTTATTTTAATAATTCACTTCTTAGTTTGATTTTAGAAACATTTTTTTCTACAATAAAGCTAAAGGAAAACAGTTCTCTTTTTCCTATGCTTGCATAAGGAAACGTGTATTTCAGTTATAATAACTTGAATCAGTCATTCAGTCCGGCTCTTGGCTGTTGCTTGTTACTGTACAGAGTTAATCTGTGACTTAGCAGTGAGTTATTTACAGGTAAATATACAAAGAAGCACAAAGGTTCAATTAGACTTAATAAAAGCAGGATAAAATATAATAAAATGTGTCCTGGCTTCTGGGGGTGAACATGCAATTATCCATGACTGTAGTTGAGGCAAAGAATGTGTCGACTGACTTTAAGTCTTTTTGGCCATTTTATTAGCAAAGATGTCTTCAACCTTGAGTAAAACTAAACCCGACGTATGTTTTAATGTCTTCTGTCGCAGTGATTTTCCTTTGGTTGAAAGCCAGCTTCGATTGGTGTCAAATGTTTGTTTTTTTTTAGTACATGCAGAGAAAACCCTGGTATGGAAAAAATAACATTTCCTCAAACATGACAGTGCTGGTGCTTCAGTTTGCTTTAAAGTTCAACTTTTGATCATTAATCATTCAAAGATAACGATTGAACTCGTTCTGCTGTCTGCCCTTTCATTAATTTGACCTCTTGTTTATATCTTCATTATAATTAGCATCTCTATAGTCAATGTTTGTTCACAGGTTGAACTCCTGACGATACAAAACTACTGTGCTGGGGCTGACGGTGTGTTTATAGAGAGTACTGTCAGGTTAATATCATACAGCACTTTATTTTATTGATTAATAATCAGTCAGAATGATAACGATTTGTACAGTAAACATCTCCTGTTCCAGTTTCTCCAACATGGGGATGTCTTTGTTTTCTGTGTTCACTCATATTATTGAATGTGATGATGATGATGATGGATCATCGTCGTGTTTAATTTATTGTCTTCTTGCAATGATGCTGCTGCTTGCTTAAGACTGCATAGTAAGCTGAAGTGTGTTTGTGTGTGTCTGTGTGTGAATAAAGAGAACAGCTCCAGGTGTGCAGCGCACATGCCTGCTGGTTTCTGATTGGCTGGTGCAGGCAGGTGATCAAAAAACTGCCGTTTGCTCTCAGCAGCTCTCCCAGGTTTCTGATCAGCTGCCATGAGCAAACAAGAGACTTGTTTTGTGTGTGAGTGTGAGAATCTGCTGACTCGGGCAACTCGCTCCCTCCCCGTCTCACCTGCCAATCAGGTCAAAGGTCACAACTGCGTTAGGATAAACAGATCGGGCCGTGTGACACACACAGAGCGTCTGTCGATATTCAGGAAGGTTTCGGCTGCGCTCCGAGCACTCCGCAGGCCTGACGCTGCACTTCCTGTCAGCTCCGAGCTCGTGTTCAATAATCCCCCCGCCCGGCCCCGGCCAGGATGAAACAAAGCATCCGCTCACCAGACAGTGTTTCCAACCCAGAGCTCAGAGTTCACACAGCTGAATGTAGCAGACCTGTAGCTGAATATGTGCGACGTGCATTACATATAAACACACAAACAAAAGGAAATGCAGCGTCACGCACTTTCAAAAGGACTCAGTGCATCAGTGCAGTGTTGAAGTCCCTGTTTTACTGACAGGATATTTGAAGCTAAATAAACAGCTGAATATGGTTTTATCGCCTTTATTTATTGACAGTGGTTTTGTACACCAAATAAAATTTAACCTTAAACCAGATTTTATTTCATTTTAAGCTTAAGTTGTTGTTTTTGCTCATTTCACTTTCAATTTTCATTGTCTGGAAATGATGAGTTTCAGTTTAGTTTTCATGAGTTTTGGTGGTAGTTTTAGTTTTGTTCTTATATATTTGGAGGTTTTGTCAGGTGCAAAATTTTAAAGGTTAACACACTTCATACACATTCAAGTCCCAGACTCATTAAACAGATGCACCAGATGTTCCTCGGGCTGGTTGTGTTGAAAAGTAAAGTGAAAAAATATTGTTTACAGTAGCTTTATTGCAAAGTCTAGTTTTTATTTTTACTGTAGCCAATTTATTCTTGGTTCACTATAATAACTTTGCCTGAAACTGAGTCATTAATGAACCATTTTAGGTTTTCTCAGCAGAAAAATCCACATCGACACATTCCACTTTAAGTTTTACATTTGGGAATTAATGGAGACAATGATCAGTGACAGACTGGACATTTATTTATTGGCTTAGATGACTGTTATTGCAATAAAAAGGGTTTATGTCTCAGATGAGATGGATCATTTTAATCACAGCAGGAGAGTACAAGTGGATTGATATTTTCTGTCGAGGTTGTTGAGACTAAATATGAAGCAGCTGAAGGACAATGGCATTTATTAGAGGACCTCTAAAACAAGAGACGGTAAATGTAGAATATAAAAATGTGAATGTTCCTACAGAGTAGCAGCAGCATGAGCAGCAGTGCGAGGTTAAAACGAGGGGGACTCGCTAGCCTGGCTTTACCATCAGCATCACAGCTGTAGATGTTGTATGTGGTGTGAGCTTCACTGAGTGTGAAAGCAAACATACTGGAACCACAGAGGTTTCTATAAATGATAGCTGACGATAGCTGCTGCTTGCAGCTTCATATTCATCATGTAGAAATAAATGTGATGTCACACCTTTATCAAGAAACATTTCGTAGGTTTGTCCACCACTGCTTTCAGGTTTAAATATATCTTTTACATATCAGCGGCTTCACTGTAAGCCAAACAATGGCGAGGTCAGAGTATCAACTGTATTTCCACTCTTGTGTCTTACATTGAAATGTTTCGGTCTCTGTTTATTTTTGTGCTGCTCTGACCGCTCACGTTCCTGCCAAAGCTGTGGCCTCTGACACCGAGGACTTCTGTGGTCCTACATTGTGCTGTCCTGTGTAGCGTCCTGCTCACACAGACACATTTTAACCTTGTGTTGTGTTTAGGACCTCGTCTCATTCGTTGGATCCTTTTAAAATGTTTGTCTTTGTTTCAGGTGAGGATGTTTGGTCGTACGCAAAGAAGCTGCCACACTTATTCCAGCAGGGCGGCGTCTTCTACAACATCGTTAAGAAAGACATGGGTAAGCAGGCTCTGTGTAACAGAGCAGGTACATTTATACATGTGCGTTTGTGTGTCTGCATCACTGTGAACCGGAGCTTATCATACGTGAGCTACTTTTTTTAAAAGGCTTCTTTGCTAACTAATTATTAGACAGATTTTAAACATGTGCCGAAATGTAGCAGAAACACACGCGACTGATCAGGTGACGCCTGAGAGCAGAAAAGTTGAGTGAATAAAATCCACGAGGCTGCAGGAAATGAAATGTTTCTTCCCAGACCTGATGATCAATGCGCTCTCCCAGTGGTCCACATTTGTGCCATATCCCGGGTTCCCAGCACGCACCTTACAGGAACTCCTTCCCAGAGAAGAAAACGGGGTCTGTTGTAACCATGTGGAGAGGATTTCGATTAGATGATAGTGCCCAGGTTTCTGGTAAATAAGGGAACGTGGAGTGGCTCACTGATGTGTGCTGAGCTCTGGTCCTCTGCAGCACAGAGGAATATATGTCAGAGTTTACAGTCAGATGAAGTTTGATTGAAATATATCGATTCTTGTCACATGCACGTGACTCCTCAGACATGTCTGAAAGCAGATTGGTGTGATTAAAGGATCGGTTTGTTTTTATCTGTCATATTCTTTATTGTAAGTTATTGCAAACCAAAAACTAATAACACAGGATCCTTTATGGCGACTTCTTATTTCCTGTTATCAGATTGTCAGATTGTTGCTGTGTTTCTGTCTGATGCTCTGGAGCTAACCGCAGCATAAATGAAAGCAAACCCTTGAACCTTTGTCAATATATTTGGTACATCCCACCCGAGGGAGGGAGAACAGCTGTGTTATTAAAGTTGACCTATTGTGCTTTTGTTTACCTGTCATAGATATATTGTTACAATGGTGGATGGTCAAGTCAGCCGCGAACTCGCTGTGAGCCAAACACTGTTTTCCTACTCTTGGATCTGTGTGACGGCGCTAAGAGGGGATATCGCTAATATGGTCATTTGAATCTTTGCAGGTGTTTCAGAGCGCGTAACTAAAAGCATGAGCTTAGTTTGATAATAAGAGAGCTTAAAGAAAAACAAAATTACAAGTTAAATCTAAAACAATAAAGTTTGACAGCCCTCACATGCTCTGCTCCCACTGCACTGCACAGTTTCACAACGTTACAGCTGCTGAAATGTTTGTGAGCTTATACACAGGCATCAATGCAATAACACGAATATGTTTCCTGTTTCAACTTGATTGGCTCTTTGGGGGAAGGGAGGGGACACTGGCCATCTGTAGTATTTGAGAAGTCTCCCATAAATTGCTGTTCAGATTTTTTTTCTATATAAATTGTGTCTGAATGTGAGAATAAAAGTTTCTTGCCTACTGATTTAAACCTTTTCTTGTGAGGGGCAGCCAATCAGAGTTGGCAGAGCTGAAGGCTTGTTTCAGACCAAGGCCCAGGATGAGATTAATAAGGATTATTTTAGACTGAATCATGTCAAGCTGGGAATGACCTCTCTCTCTCTCTCTCGTTCAGGCCTGATGGACGGGAAGCACTGCACGCTGCCTCACCTCACAGGGAAAACCTTTGTTTATAATGCAGCAGAGGAGCGTTTAGAGCTCTGCGTGGACGCTGCCGGTCACTTCCCTGTTGGGCCTGATGTAGAGGAACTGGTGAAGGAGGCCCTGGTGCAGCTACGCTCTGAGGCATCCGGTAGGGGCAGTAGAGAGGGTAGTCCCTCTCATGGCGTGCTGCGGCTGGGCAGCGGTGGCGTTGTTCGTAAAAAGGAGCAGCTGCAGAGTGTCACAGCCTTTCAGGGAAAAGGCCACTCTCTGGGCAGCGCCGGAGGCTCCTCACCACCAGAACACCGCCCTATCACACGACAGCACAGCAGTGGCGTGGACCTGAGTGCCAGCGTGTCCCGAGGACCCCCGGACCTGTCGGACATCCCCGAGGACACCACCAGGGAGCTGGTCCGCATGGCTCCAGGCTTCGTCACCATGAAGGACGGCCGTGGACTCGACCCCAGCCTGATGGAGCAGCAGCGAAGGAAGCTGCAGGAAATGGTGTCCTCCATCCAGGCCTCCATGGAGCGGCACCTGAAAGAGCAGCAGAGCACCGCCTCCGGGGGTAGGGCTGCCCAGGAGCCGACGGCTGGAAGCCAGGCGGGTGAGGACCAGTCGGTGTCCACGGCCGACCACAAACCGCCAGCTGCAGTGTCGACAACGGCAGCCATCAAACCTGAGCAGAAGGTGGAGGAACCGGAGGAGATGGACAGCCAGGACGCCGGGCAGAGTAACGCCACCGAACCCATGGATCACTCCTGATCACGCCTGAGCCCCAGCACCGCCCCACCCCCGCACCCGCCTGACCGGCATCTGTGGGTCATAACACCTCAGGTCGGATCCTCAAGCTTTGGTCTTCATCGTGTTGCGTTGTCTTTACTGCATGACTAAGAGCGGGCCGACTGTCCTCGCCGCTGCGAACTCCAGGTGGGACAGCCGTCGATGAAGCGATATATTGTGACGCGGTGTCTGCGATATGTCATCGATTCACCCGTTTCACAGATCTGTTGCAGAAGCCGTTGCCATGTGTGTTTACACTGTATCCACTGTAGCTCGCCTGTCAGCACCGCTCTATGAAAATTTAACACGGTAATGAATAAATACAACGATGTGATCCCCACGTTGATTCAAAATAAGTTTTTCTCTTAAGTTGATGATGTATCGTGAACAACTGTCTCACAGTATATCGCAGAGTCGTCCATAAGGTGACGGGATTCTGTCGTTAGGCCTGCAGTTCCCACCTGCAGACGTCTAATCCTCTCGCTGTGAACACTTACGGATCTCCGAGGAGGAAAATCCGGTGAGACGCATTCCTGTAGATAGAAGAAGTCTTAATCTGCCACCAGGAAGGAGAGTAGCTGGCCGCCGCCAGCGTCGCGTCCTGCAAACATGCTTCCGTCAAAGTGCACGCTCTGAAAAGTGCACCGGCCTCCGTACGCATCAACGCCTTCAGAATCTGCTTTCCACCCTCCGTTTGTCTGAGCTCTGCAGGGAGAACTCTGATCTGTGTTTGCTTGATTGTCTGAATCCTCCTTGATGACTTTATATTTTTACCTTTTTGCCCCTCTAACCATCACCAGTTTAATGGTTTATATTCTAGAAAAATCAGAATGAAGCCCCTCACAACCTCCAGGCACAGAACTAACTGCAGTTTCTATTTGTTGCATCTAAAATTTAACCGCACGCTCTCATCTCCACGTGTGACATATTGCAGTTTTGTGTGATGCCACCTGCGCCTCAACATCAGTAATAAGGCGTCTGTCGATATCTGTGCCTGTAGCAGTATTGAACATGTGCTGTGCGAGACCTCCAAAGTCCACATGAGCTGGTTTGTTAGTACAAGTTGTTTGGTGGTCCGCGTCCCATTTGGACCGTTGTGTTTTGCACTTTTAATTTTTTCTTCTGTTTTGTTTGTTGTTTACTTGACATTTGATTTGCTTTTTAGGTTGATTGTATGGAAAAGATGGCCTTGTTGTATTTGTGCTCTTTTTATGGCTTTTTGAGCATCAGATGAGTGTAACCATATTTAAATGAGAAGTTTTATTGCTCAGTTACCACCTAACAGTAGCTGGTTTGAGCAGAAAGCTGCATCCATAAGCTGCACACAGGCACAGATGTCTGGTGATTAATGCTAATCAACAGACGAATAAAATACTGGAACGGTCTCTTAGCTGATGGGTCGCTCGTCACAATTTTAAACGTCATTGAAAAATTCTCCAGAATGCTCCAACAGCACAAACACAGTCGAGAGGTCCAGTTCAGTGACTCTGATTAGCTGAAGTCTAACAGCTACACCTGCCTGTGTCACCACCCACCTGTCAGGGCCACGCCCCCATTAATGCAAACTTTAAGCCTTATCAGCGTCCAAATGAATAAGTTAAATACGATTAACATTGTTCACAGTTCATCAAATTTTTAATATTTTTACTCGAGTGGCCATTAGCTTCATTAATGGATGTTTCTGGTTGGTCGGGCTTAGTTTGGGTTCCTGTGTACCCCACTTCACTGCCAGTGTGTAAATGTGGGTTTGACAAAAAGTGTTACGTGTTAAAAACAAGAACTAATTTATTTCTCACATATTTGTTCCAGCTGCATTTTTATTCACCTTATGTATCCCAGGTTAAATATTTTAAATTTTTAACACCTAAATTTAAGTTTCATCTGATCTCCAAACACTGCAGATTCATGAGAATCTGTGTAACTGTAGCAATAAAATGCCAAAGATGTGTTAGAGATGCACATGTAGTCAACAAGAGTCACTTATGATTTTTTTTACTATAAAATTCCCCAGACCTCCTCGACACGACGTGTTTGAACATAAATGTTACGATCCACTCTGCTCTGGACTATTTTGTGTTTGTTATTAAAACTCTTAAAATCAGTACCTGAAAAGACTTTTGTGTGAGGTTTAGAGGGACATAAACATGAAGCAAATATCTGGTGCTTTAGAAGCTAAAGATGAAATGCCTTGAGATGTGAGCTTGAATATGAACTTGAGTGCAGTGCAACAAAGAGAAATTGTATTTATTGCCTGCAGGTGGCGCCGTGTTGAATGTGCAGCAGTTATGAACTTCCTGGAGGTCGAAGCTTCTCCTCGGTTTACCTGAAAACACTGTAAAATAACTCTGCACTGGACTGTTATCTTATGCTCAACAACTACCTTTCCCATGAGTCTTAGCCACAGTTAAAGTATTATGGGAGTCAGCGAAATCAAAAAGCGTTTAGCTTGTAGAATTTATAGAAAATCCAAAATGAGCTTAATGAGCTGCGAAGGTTTGTGCAGGTTAAAGCGAACGGCTCCTCCTTATGGAGATACTCTGAAAATACTTTGTGAACAAGTTGATCTTCACATCCCAAAAGTTCAACGTGTGCTCATCAGCTGATCAGGTTACTTCATAAAAGGCCCAAATATCAAAGTAAGAAACCTAAAGCTCCATTCAGGTGGGATTCATGTCTCAGTGGTGCTCTGGTGTGGCCTCGGGAGGCTTTCTTCTTCTTCTTTGCTCTGAAGATGAACCTTCTGCTCCTTCCTAACATTTAAGGTTTGGTTCTCGCTTCATTTTTTCTCTTTTCAAAAGCAGAACACAGCCAAAGAAAAACCAGGTTCAACTTTTCACTGGAGTTTAAATTCTCGTGATTGATCTAAGTTTTGGTTGGAGGAAGTCCTCGCTGGGCCTCTGTGCTTCTGTCCTATGCAAACATCTTAACTGAACTTCCAGGTCTAAACACCACCTACACATTTCAGCTGAACCTCCCAGACTCACCACCAGGTGGCCCTGCTGTCAGTGAAGGCGTCTCGTAGAGATCCACTGATTGTGGAAATCAAGTTAAACTATTGTTTTTAAAACATAACAGCTTTTGGGAATCATATATTACAGTTTTTCACTCTGAATGAGAAAGAATTCACTTGTACAAATTGAGGATCGACGGGACACAAAGTGACCGTCGATCATCAGCTCTCGTCTGTAAAAACCAAACCACAAACAGGAACTGAGAGATTTAATTAAATCTTCCCTCAGTGTGGCGACACCAGATTAGAGAACAAGAGTTTATTATTTTTATTTCCCCGAGGCTTTAACCGCTCCTTTATTCCTGTAACGCTGCAGGAAGAAAAAGCATCTTTAGATGTGTCAAATCAGCTTTTGTGGATTGTGTTTTCCACGTCTGGAACATCAGGCAGGTTAGAGTCGCAGCATGTGACTCTTCTCATTGTTCATGTGTCTTTCACACTGTTGTCCACATGTCTGCTCGTTCTATATGAATCATAAAGAAGCTGCTGTTTTTGTCAGAATTACCTGAAAGTAAATGTGTTTGAAGACAAATCGTCAGAGACGTTCAGCCCATCACTAGATGTCCAAAAGTATCATCCTCGCTGACCTGTTCCTTGTTTTCTGGCCACGTCTATTCTATTAAAGCATAATCTCATTGAGCCTATTTTCATCCTCCACGCTCCACCTGCAGTGACGCCATTAATGAGGCCCAGCGCTCGTCACAGTTTGAAAACCACTGAATGAAAGCATTATCACATAAAGCTCTTTATGCAGCTGCTGAATAAGCTCACAGAAGCAGGGTCACAGGTTTCTGGTGAAGATGATTTTGGACATTTTTAAATGTTTTCATTGTTCACACAGAGTGTTTGGTTTCACTGAAGATGGACGTCTTAGTTGTGAATTACTAGCAGCTATTGTCACCTATACATGCAGATCTTATTTTAGTTCATGAGGAGCTTGTTCAGAGCTGCTCACCACACACTGCAGAAAGGGTTTTACAACTCTAAGTTGGCCTCCAGGCTTCTGGTTTCTACGTTCAGTCAGTGTCTGCTCTTCCTGCTGCAGAGGAAACTTTTCCCTCTTTCAGCATGAAACAGTGAAACAGATCCAGATGTTAGAGCTCACTCTTCAGCATCTGGCAGGCAGACTGAAGCCAGAGGAGCACGTTAATGCAAATGCTGCCACTGTCACATATGGACAGGCTCTATAAGGGAGGCTTCACGTGTATGTGTTTCTTCAGTGCTTGATGTTCAGAGGTGGGTTTTGCTTTGTTGTTGTTGTTTGTTGCTGGTGTCGTTATAGTGACAAACCTAGTCATGCAGCTAACTAACAGAGCTAACTAACAAGGTTAGCTGTGGCAAAGTTTGTGCAGCTCGGCCCCAAAACAAGAAGTTCAAGATCATTTCTGGGCCACACACTCGAGGTGTTTTCATAACCTTTGTACAGCTTCATCAGAGGTTCAGTCTTTTCTTGGGTAGTAGTACTGAATTATTTGTAAAAATGTGATTGGCTGAAGATTTGTTTAAAAATTAGGACTTTTATTCAGAGGCGCTGCTGCCTGAAATCCTCTCTGATGTCACAGTTTTCAGCAGGTTCGTCTTCACTGTTTGACGAGACGTCCACGTTCAGTGTGAACTCTAAACTGTTGCATCAGCAGCATTTTAGAGTTTCCTGTGTTTTCTAACAGGAGATGTACACTGGTGTGTACAGTGTTTTGGTGTGTGTGTTTGTGTACTTTTATTTTGCATGTTGATTTTTCAGGGACTTCTTGAGAAAAACAGCAGTTTCTTTTCATGATTCATCAAACCAGAGGTCTCAAACATCCATCTGATTTTTACAGGAACAAACTGGGTCATTTCTGCTCACAGTCCTCTGATTCGATGCTTTTGTAGAAATGTGCAGATGTTTTTCATTGTGCTCTGGAGCAGCTGGTTAGTTTAGCATTAACAAAGGAAATGACTCTGAACTCTAAATCTCACTGACGCTGTATCGCGTTTGTTAAATCCGTGTGAAATGTAAAACAGGACACCTGCGAGTGGCACCGATCGCTGCTCCATCACAAACATGGAAGGCAGTTTCCGCCAACACAGATGTTTCTCCACCTCTCTATGTTACTTCTGTAATGAATCATCAGGCCTTAAACTGTGCATAAAATGTTTTACACTTAGGTTCTGCTTCAACTCTTTTATCTCGGCTGTGTTTAATTTGAACTGGAGTCTTTGTATTTTCACTTTTTTGGCCTTTTTGTTTTCTGGTTTAGCAAAAAAAAGTCTGTTTCAGAATCACGGTCCTTCTGTTTTTGCCGTTCAGATGAATCTTTAGCACTTTGAGGAAAACAGGGAATGTTAGCATAGCATGCCCATATTAGCCGAATCATCATCATCATCATCAGTCAGAGAGGAAGCAGGTCGGCAGCACGAATCAGGAGGAGAGTTTGCTCAGATCAGACGACACTGCTGTAACAGACTTGAAGTTTTTCTTTGTGACTGCTGTACTAATGACATGAATTGTAATCCACCTGTATAATAGTATATATTGTAGTATATTTGGATCTGTACAGAAACACAGATGTTCAGTTCCTGCAGTAATGATTTCTTTTGTTAACTTCTCTCTGGTTTGCTAATAAAATATTGATGATACACGGCTTCGACATCGCTGTTTGCATGTGTGATAAATTTCCAACCCCGACAATAAAATCACTTCCTTCACATGTTTCCGTATTTTGTCGTCACTCACACACTTTCCTGTTTGTCTGTTTAAAAAAAGGTGTTTGTTTATGGTGCAGAAATCATTTTTCTCTGTTGTCCAGTCAACATAAAACAGTTTGTAGAGAAAAGCAAGAGTAGAGCTGGCAAGAGCCTCAAAGATGCTGAAGATCGTGTTATCTCTTTCATGTCTTTTTTAATTAAACGTTGGTGATTTTGATGAGAACACCTTTAACATTTCTTTCAGTCACTCAAAGCTCACTGTCTGGGGTGTCAGACACATGGCCAGATTCAGCCAATGAAACGGTCCAATCACACCTCTGGATAAATTTGGAAAGTGTTGAAAAATCACACTGACATCATTGATATCTCCAGTCCAATGCTGAGGAGACACTAACAGGAGGGAACAAGTATTTCTAGATCTGAATAAATTAAAGTTGTTTAGTTCCAAAAGCTCCACATTTGAAGGCTTTTATAGAACATCTGAAACCTATAATGTGCTTGTAATAATGCAACTGTACATGGTGGAAATGAAAGAGGGATAAGGAAGGCGCCCTCCTCAGTGCATCAGTGTACATGCAGTGAAAGCTGCTGATTTAATTATAGAGGGGAAACATAAACTCCCCTCATGTAGTTCTCAGTGGTTTGGTCCACAGGACAAACACAACTTCACAAACGTCTTGATGCATGATCAATCATCCAGGTAAGTAAATCTCCAAAAGTTGATTCTGCTCATCTGGACGTAGCGTTTGCAGCGGGAGAAAAGGAGGCCGTTTGTGTGAAAAGGAAAGACCATCTCTGAATCGAGGAGGGGCCTAAGGGAACATCTTTCACCATCATACAATCCTGTGATTGCAGCCATTCCCCAGCTCTCTGTGAATGGTACTCATGATCAACAACCACTGATCAATGGTCATGAGAATTTGCATAATCATGATGAACTGACCTCCCAGCCCATTGTTCCCTCAGTGGGCTGATTTCAGTCATTGTGCAAATGTCTGTTTATAAGATTTGGGGAAACCTGCAGTCAGAGACTGAAGACGGCACTTGGATGAGCGACGAAACGTTTCTCCCACTGAAAACGTCCAGATGAACAGAATCAACTTTTGGAGACTTTACAAACCATCCACAGGATGCGTGACTGCTGCTTTCTTCTACTTTAAGCGTCAGTGCCTCCACCACATACTGTAGGCCTGTGCTTATTAAAGTCACTATAGAGGAAACATTTTCAAGCACTTTTTTTGTTGTTTTATTTTATTTTTTAGAAAGTTTCCTGATTTCACAAGACAGAAGTGATCCGTTCGCTTGATTTTAAAAAAGAATCGTGTCCCTTTTTTCCAAATTAATAACATATCTTAAAATCCCAAAGAGCATCTGGGGATTTTAGTAAGCAAGAATGAGCCCTCACTAAGGTGAATACAACTTTATTTTGATTTAGGACTGAAATATTGGCAGATGTTGGTGTCCTTGTCTCTTGAGTGATTGGTTCATATCCTGATCCTTGAGAAACCTTGTGTTATTTTAAAGATCCGAGGAGCAGAGGCATTGAAGGTGGATGGGTTTAAATACCTGTGGTCAGAAATGAGTATATGAGAGGGGGAGCTCAGGTGGAGCAGTTTGAAGATGAAGTTAGAGGCAAGGCTGAGCTGGTTTGGAAGGACTAACGGATCCCGGAGATGGAGCTGACAGGCAGGAGGAAAGGAGCTCAGAGGAGGATGCCAAGGATAGGGCGAGAAAGAGCGAGGATTTACTGCTGTGTAATCCCGATGAGGAAGCAGCCAGAAGAAGACAAAAGCTCTTTCATAAAAACTCTGTTATAAATGTTTATACATTTAATTTGTATTTATTGGCCAGTGGATGCATTAAGCTTCCGTAGAGCGCGTTTTATTCTTAAAGGAAAAGCAGCTTCCGGCGGAAGTGGACTGAAACTTCACGGCTGTGTGGACGTCGGAAGCTGGCAGCTGGAGGTTGACGGTGTTTTGTATCGCTGAGGCTCGGTGGAGCTGCTGGAGGAACCATGTCCGCGCTTCAGCATCTGAGGCTGTTCGTGAAGGAGCGTCTGAGCGCCGCAGCGGAGGAAATCTTCAGGGAGTTTGAGAAAACCGTCCTGCAGTACGAGGAGCAGCTGCACCAGCAGCACGGGGCCCTGAGCTGGACTGCAGACTCTGCAGGTACGTGGGGCAGCAGGCCCGGGAGGAGAAGGACCAGCGCTGCACTCTCAGGCCGGGCGGACGCTGCTAGCTTAGCCGTCACAGAGTGAGTCCAGCCCGGGGCGGAGAGCGCGGAGGAGCCGCTGAAGCGGGAATGTGGTGACTTTGACTAGTTTCTCCAATTTAAAATGAAAATATATTTTAAATCTGACATTTGTGGTTCGGTGCACACGTAAAAGCCAGCCAGCAGCCGCAGGAAAATGCCAGAGACCGTGCTGTATCATTCCAGTATGAATTCACTCTGGTTTTATTGGAAAACACCAGAAACCAGTGACAGTAACTGCTCATGTGTAACTTTTTTTCTTTCAAACACATGAAACAGAAATATTGCCCTAACATTTTTTATGTGCAGTTATGGATGATTCCTTTATTTTATGTTACAAATAACACAACTTTCATTTTATTATTTTAGAGGAAGTTAAGTATCAAAACAATAAAAGCACTGCTGAGTAACAGTATCTGTTCTAATAGAAAGGCACCGAGCCCTTAATGGCAGAGAGGCAAGCGGCTGATGCTGTCACTGCGCTCGGGTAATCCTGGGTAACACTGGACATGTCGTGACCCTGCGCTCTGTCTCAGTGCACTGAGAGAGAAATGCAGCCAGAAACAGCACAAGTGCAAAAGGTTTCTTCCCCTGGATGGTGGACAGAGCCAGAGACGCTTACACTGAGACTGTAAGCGTCTCATCTCTGCTCGTTTCCTTTTGTTCGGGCTTTAAAGACTTTTACAGATGAATGAGGTTTAGCTTGATCTTACTCTGACGATGATGTTTAACTCTGTCATTACCAAACACTGTCACTTCAGTTTACTTCTAGTTGTAGAAGTATTTCAGTAGAATATGCAGTAGTAATATGTAGAGGGGGCACAGAGACCTTTCTGGATGGTCTGAACTGCCCATAGAAGATCTGCCCATGACCTTGATGCTGTGGATAAAACTGGACTAGGAACCAACAATGATGCTTTTCAGGCTCACAGCCCTGCACACTCTTGGGTTGCATGATCAGTGGCTGCAGACAAGTTTAAGAGTTTAGTGTTTCAAACAAATGACTTAACTGAAAGTATGAAAGCACTGCTTGGAGCAGAGGACCTGAAAGTGCTGATGTGTGAGTACCAGTTTAAGGAGCCAGCAATCGTTGATGGTCACACTCTGTGAGGATACTCATTTATGTCGGTAACTCTTTAACCTTCACTGAGGTGGCAACATCTGGGATAAAATAAATGAAGAAAACACTCGGTTGGTTTTATATGCCTGTTTTTCATCACTGTGCAAACTCATCTGTGGAGAATTAACCTTACGGTGCATCAGCTGCGCATGTGCTGCAGGCAGGGACATCCAGAGGAAGTTCTTCTTCAAAGATGTGTAACAGGAATGAGCGCTCGGCCGTTGACTCTGCAGATGCCTCTCTTTGTTTCTGCAACTTTAGAACTCAGTGGGATCAAAGACAGGAGCCCCGATGTGAGCGGTCACAATCAGACAGGTAGATTTTCAGATTTTAGGTTTTTCAGAGTTAAAGAGTAAATGTGGTCACAAGATGCTTGGGGAAAACAACAATAAAAGAAGCTCCAGCTGTCAAAAATATCTTCCTGTCATCTCTCAGTTGATGATGATGGATCGTCACCTGCCACGCCACACACGACTTAACTTGAGCAGAGGTCTGGGCGTGAACTTGTGCCCAAACATGCTCAGAAACATTTGTGTTGCAGGTGTTTGTTATGTGTGGAGGAGCGACATGAAGCCAAGATTTCATTTATTATGAATATCAGAATAAACATGATATTTTCATAATGAGCAACTGTAGAAATTGCATAGAAATTGTGCTAATTGTTGAGGTATCATCAGTCACTTTGACCCTCATCAATCCGAGACGTCATCGTCCATCAGAACAAACCTTGTCGTATCACAGTATGAACTAATTCTTTCTCCCTTTTATCTCTGCAGACCTTCCACAGGAAGATGACTGCAAAGAGGAGGAGATGGTTCCCATCGAGCTCTGTAAGCAGAAAGAGGCCTCTGCTGTGGACCAGGAGAAACCAGAACCGGTACAGATTAAAGAGGAACAGGAGGAGCTCTACACCGGTCAGGAGGGAGAGCAGCTTATCCTGAAGGAGGAGAGCGAGACAATTATGGTGACTCTTACTTATGATGAAAGTGACCTCAGTGAACCTCAGCACAAGTATGTGGACTCTGGATCTACGACAAATGCAGAGCCACAGCCAGAGGAGCTACATCAGCGTACCAGAAGCACCGCGAAAGCTGTCACATCACAGAGTCAGCGTAAACCTGACGTGGGGAAAAAGTCTGTAAAATGTGACGTTTGTGGAAAAACCTTCAAGTATAATTTCCAAATGAAGAAACATTACAGAATCCACACAGGCGAGAAGCCGTACGCCTGCAGCACTTGTGGAAAAAGATTCTATCAGATTTATTTCATGAAATATCACGAAAGAAATCATACAGGTGAGAAGTCACACCTGTGCATCACCTGTGGGAAAAGATTCACTGACCTATCGGCACTTAAAAGGCATACATCGATCCACACAGGCGAGAAGCCGTATTCCTGCGAAACGTGCGGGAAATGTTTCAGGCACAGTGCGACTCTGTTGGTTCACATGAGAACCCACACAGGTGAGAAGCCGTACGCTTGCAACACCTGTGGGAAAAGATTCACCAACTTATCCGCGTTTAAAAAACACGCTGCAATCCACACAGGTGAGAAACCGTATTCCTGTAAAATCTGCGGGAAAAGTTTCACTCAGAGCGGGAATCTGACAGTTCACATGAGAACGCACACAGGTGAAAAGTGGTACTCCTGCGAAACGTGTGGCAAAAGTTTCAGTCGAAGTAGCAATTTAACTGTTCACATGAGAACGCACACAGGTGAGAAGCCTTACCACTGCAACACCTGTGGGGAACGATTTAAATACGCCGCAACGCTAAAGAACCACATGGGAACGCACGCAGCGGAGACGTCGCACGCTTGCAAAAAATGTGGGAAAGGCACCAAGGGGGAGTGATAACAATCTGGTTGCTACGGGAACCCATACAGGTGAGATGTCAGGGTCCTGAAACACCTGTCGGGAAAAATATTATGAATATGCTTGTGGTAATTTAAAGTCACAAAAACTGCTGTGACTTTATGTTCACAACATCTGTGTGTTGTGCTGAAGAGATATCAATTAGAGCGCAATAAGGCTGGGCTGTGCTTTCATGCAATACCACTTTGTACCACAAGATGGTGCAACAAGTCAGCGTAGCCTTCATTTAAGGAGGTAGTAGTGACTCCTTATAAATACTTTATTTACGTCATGGCATCAGTTCCATCTATTTTACTGCAGGAAGTCAAAGACTAGCTCAGTTTCTATATTTTTGACTTTCAGGAAGTTGAATTAACAACTTTAAAATGCCGGAGCATGTTTTTAACATTTTAACACCAGATAATTAATCTGATTAAGCCAGAAAGATGTAAAATATAAAGTATTTCAATATCCTCATAGAAGAGAAAACACAAAGACAAAACAGTTAGAATAAGTTGTTCTTATGCTCTGCTATCATGTGTTCGGCACAGGGATGCAGAATCAGTCCTAAACATGCTTGTTATGTTGTGGTTAGCTGTGATGTCATGTTTTCATGCTGCTGTTCTGAATCAGTCAACATCTGGCTCATTTGTGTTAATGAAGTGCAGCTGTGAGACAAACTCCTCTCAGACTTCTACTTTCAAACTCTGGTACAATGTTTTGTGTCTCCAGGTAAAAACACCTGTTAGCCTTGAATAATCAATGCCATCGTGTGTGGGTGGAGCTTCAAATGGCCCTCAGTGAAGGTCCAACAGCTGCTCTCTAGGTGCACATCTGCACTTTCTTCATTATCCTCCTTCTTCTGCGTTTGCTGCTCCTGAAGGCAGCACGTTATGCCGCATGTGATGTGACTTTATGTCACATTTGCGGTGTTGAAGTCAGTCCGTTGTGGCTTATTGATTGTATCCTGTCGGCATCATGCCGACTGAATGGTTAATATCAGCCCCTCCTCAGCACACTGTTCAGTGTTTTATAGTGGACAGTAGGGCTGCCACGATTAGTCGACTAGTCACGATTACGTCGACTATCAAAATCTTCAACGACTGATTTAATAGTCCACACGTCGTTTGAAGCTTTGTAAGATCCCAAAAGACGCAGGAATAAGTAGCAGGATTTAAGAGTGTAATAACGGACTGAAACAGAAGATGGCAGCACTGCATGTACAAGGATGCCAGCTGCCGTTAAACCCCGAAGAAGAAGAAGCTGTGTCCCAGAATTCATAGCGCGGCCCAGCTCAGTTTCCAACAATGGCGGCAGCTAGTTAGTTTTAATATTACTCTTATTATTCTTTCTGGGTCAATAAATAAACGTTTAACATATTTTCAGGCGAGAATGTAGCTGTGTAAACCTCAAATATCTGCTCAGTTTATCAAGACACCACATATTTTCAAAAGCACTCTGACGTTTTCGGAGACGTCTGTTACCCACTAGCTCGATAGTTAGCCGGGGGCAAGGCTCACTAGAGCCGTGAGATCACCGGACTCCCGGCAAATGTTTTCAAACCCACCACCGTCTTTCGCTACTCAGGTTAAATATATATAAGTCACTTAGATAACTTAAAAATGTTGTTGTTTGGCTTTTTTCAGTGTTTTATTTGTTCCTGAGTAAATCGGTTTGGCTGAGATTAAAGTTATAGTTTTTACACAGCTGAATAAACATCAAGCAGACAGCTGATTATCAGAAGTGTGAGATGCTCGAGAATTTACTCCTGTGTCCTGTTATATTTTAGATAGCAAGGAGTTTATTAAACTTCACCGAAACAATCTGCAAATTTCATTAAAATTTAATAAACTATCATCTTGTCTTTATTTTTAGTTAGCACAGACCTTAAACACTTCAAGCTGTAAGCTAATGATAGTTATATAAGAGGAGATGCTGCTGGTGCAATAAGCTGTACGTTTTATGTCCAATGGATGATGATCTGATTAGTCGACTAATCGCAAAAAATAATCGGTGACTAGTCGACTATCAAAATTATCGTTTGTGGCAGCCCTAGTAGACAGTATATCAGAGATTAAAGCTGCTCGGCAGTTATGAAATTAGACCTTGTGTATGTCCCAGTACCAATATAAACAGTTAATAACATTTATAATTTTGCTGTTTTTACCCCCATGAAGGCCTTTTGTTACACTCAGCTCTTCTTTGCTGTGCCATCCAATTTAGAGGAGCCAGCCTTTGACACAAGGAGAGATGAGACTGTTTATGATGGTTTGAACCCAAAACCTTCTCTCTGTGAGGTGACCAGGCTATCGAATATGTTTATCTGACTAATGCAGCTACACTTTGTACTCAGTCGGTCAGTGTTTGTTTTTCAAGCAGAAGCCGTTCCACACAGACTTTAACAGTTAATGACAGACCTGTGATGTTCTGGCTGTTCCCCAGCGGTTTGCACTGCACCTCATTTTTATTTATTTTAATGAACTTCACACAGAGGTGTCTGAGTTAGTCGTCTGTGGCTCTCCTGGTTTTACAGCAGCGTCTCATCTCACAGCTCCACGCATACTTTACCGGTCTGACACCTGGGACTTAGAAACACGTCTGCTGTTGATCAGCAAACAGCAGTCTGCTTGTAACAGTACATCCTATCAGGTGTGTAGTTTAAGACCAAAAATATCCACATAAACACTTCAGTTCTTTAAAATTTAATGACTTTGGGATCTTAAAAGATCACGACCATCCTGTTAGTGTGGTGGGTTAGCCAACACTAAACCCCGGGCCGAGTTCAGCAGGGTCGGATAATCTTCTGGAATAACTTGTGAGTAATCGTGTCGGGTCAGAGGAGCGTCTCTTTAGCTACATTTTCAAAAAAAATCCCTTTCATCAAATATTTCTGAGTGAGCACGATTCACAGCAGAGCTTTCAGACTCCAAGTGCCTTCTGACTTTAACAGTGATGATGTTTAAGAGTTTGTTGTGTCACACTGTGTGAGACGGGTTGAATGAAGTGTAAATCTGTGTCAGGCAGAACAAAGTGTGTCAAATAATTTATCCTTAACGACTGTTACAGAATCACAAACGAATGAAGACGTCTGCTAATTATGAGGTTTAACTTCTGTGCTTGAGTTTTGCTGACAAATAACCTTTAATATCAATGTAATCCTTTTTTTTCTCAGAAGTATTTTGAAAAATGTCATTCATTTGAAGTTCTGTATAATCCTGTCCATCTTGTAAAAATCCGTTATGCATTGTGGTGATTTATTTAATCTAAGTTTAAAACAAAGGTTTATTGTACAGTAACATCATATCTGAGCCGACTAACGAGCTGTGTTTCAGGTGTTTCTTTGTTTTTCCAAACCATCATAAACAACTAAATTCATATATTGTATCATATTTGATATAACAGCAACCTTTTATATTTAAAAAATAAACATGTCGAAACTTTGACTTGGCTGCTGGTGGACTGTTTTTTGCTAGGTGGGAAAGTCTACACAGGTGATTAATCTGGGTGTTCCAGGAGGCGACTCACCATCATTAGTGCTGACATGAGGCTGAAATCATTACAACAGAATAGCATTGTTGTCGTTCTATTACTGTTATCATTTATCTTTTTCAGGGTTGTGGGGAGACAGATAACCATTAGCACTCACATTCACACCTATGGGTAATTTAAAATCCCCAATGAACCTAAATTGACCTAACCCCATGTCTTTGGAGTGTGGGAGGAAGCCGGAGACAATCCACACAAACAGGAAGAACCTGGCCAGGTGCAGGAGTGTGGTGGTTAGTTTGTGAGCCACCAGAGCTAACCACCACACCAATGTGCTCGCCTATTATGTTATTCTATACAACAAAATATAGTGCAACTCTGTCACTGGCACAAAAGGTAATACTGTAAGTTTAAAAAGAAGATTAAAGATGAGATACAGTAACACATTTAGGTTTTCTAGGAACATTGTAGAAATAATACTGCACAGTCAGTGCATCAATACTGACACAAACTTTGTATAATATCACACGGGAGTCTTTTTAGACCTGCAGGCTCTTAAATATAGTTTTCTATAAAAGAGGAGCATCACACACTAATGTGCAGTGCATTATGGGATGAGTAGCTCACTGTTAAACGATCGCAGATGTTTCTCCTTTATTTTTGTTTATTTATTTAGTTACTTATTTATTATTTTTAATTAAATGTTTTCTTATGGGCGCAGCTGGCTCTTTCTAAACCTTAAACTTCTTGATTTTCTGAAATATAAAATGTACTTTCACGGCCGAATCCCTTTAAAAAGTGGGAGCTCAGCGTGGAGCTCCAATAAAACACGGGCACGGGCGGAACTACAGTTCACTCCCTTCTCTTCTGCCGGAACTCGACAGTGTGACACTCGGGTCGTAAACAGCAGCGGCGCAGGCGCTAGCAGCGTTAGCTGCTGGAGGCAGGATGTCTTCAGCTCAGTGTTTTCCTCCGGCTCATGAACTCTGTCAGACGGATGTGGAGCGAACCTTCGTCCGCTGTCAGGAGGAGCTGCTGGACATCAGCTGGAAGCCTGAGATAAAGTTACACAGAATCGGTAAGAAACGATGACATGTTGCAGGGTTTTAGGGGTAGCAGGGAGCTGCAGGTTTTTCCCAAAGAGAAAAAAAGAGAGAGAAACGCCAAATTACATACAACCCAAATCCCAAATAGCTGGCTGCTGTGAAAAATGTAAATAAAACCAGAATGCAATAGTCTGCACATCCCATAAACCCATATTTTATTCACGAAGAACACATCAAGTCTTTAAACTGAGAAATGAACAATTTTAAGACAAAATCATTTTTGACAGCTCAAAGAAAAGTTGGGAAGGGAGAAAGAAAAGGCTGGAAAATGGAGGTGGTACTAAGAAGGAACAGATGGAGGAACATTTTGTATCTAATTAGCTTAATTGGCAGCAGGTCAGAAATGATGCTGTCATGGAAATCACAGCATGGTCTCAGGAAAGCGTCCAGAAATCATGTCTGTGAGCAGTTTGCTGTAGCGTGATCCAGAAATGCTGCCAAAGCTCATTTAAAATGGACCGAGGGAGAATGAAAACCATTTTGGTCGAATGGTAATTTAATTTGAACACAAGACTAAAGATGAAAATAACCATCGGTGTTCAGTTCAAAAGCTTGCCTCTCTGATGTATGGAGGGAGATGACTCAGTGCTTGTGAAACTGGCAGCATCCACATCTGGAAAGAATCCATCACTGCTGAAAGGTATATACAGACGAGCAGCAGAGAATGGATGAGGGAATTTGCTCTCATCCAGATGGCGTCTGTTTTTGGGAAGGTCTTGTGAATTTAGCAAGCTGATTCTAAACCATGCAAAAGGATGGAGCAGGACAACTCATGAAACATCTGCTTGTTAAATTCAGTTGTGTAAATCCACAAAAGGCAGTAAACCTTGGATCAGCTGATCACAGCCTGTTCACAAAGAAATTCCACTGCAGCTCTCAACAGCAGTGGTGACTCTTTCCCTGAGCTGAGCCACTACAACCAATTTTAGGCTTTCACAGCCTGCTTAAATCCACTTTAACCTCCGACTGTACTCATTTTCCTGACACCCCTTACTAGGTAGGCAAAGGAAATTTTCCTTCTTTTTCTCTGCTCGTTTTCTACTTGAGTGGTTTAAGCAGAGCACGTTTATTAAGTTAACTTTTAGTTTAAATTTTAAGTTTATATTCTCATTGATTGATATTATTTTATTATTATATTAATATAGCACAAGATTTAGGTAGCGTTGCAAAAAAAGAGCCCCTCCAAAGAGCTGCTTTATACTTACGTACTTTACTATTATCATTAGATGCTGCATTCATTTATTTTTTTGATTACACTCTGATTTAATACAGTGCAGAATCTTTGCTTTAGTCGTGTGTTGTGCAAACTCTGTCTCTGCCTTATTTACTTTAATTCCACATATGTTTGCACATGTTTCTACTGATCACAGTACCCACCTTCTATTTCCTATCTAAATATAAATACATTGGTTTGGAGCTCTGCATTTACTGAGGCAATAGTATCGGTGACTTATGTGTTATGTAATCTGATCAACAGTTGGTTGTTGAATAACCAGGAAGGAAGAAACTTCACAAACTGACATGTTGCAATGATGGCATCTTCTTACAACACCACGCTCAAATTCAGTGAGCTCTTTCAAACCAAACATTCTGTTGTTTGGTTTGAGGGCTGCTTGGCTAGATGCTTGATATTTCTACAGCTGTGGCAGCGGGACTGTCAACACCTGGGTTTAAAGATTAGCAGGTGTGGTCCTGTAGTATTGCCCATTTGGTGCATGTTTGGCCTGAAGTCTGTCGACACAAATCATTTGTTTAAACTAAAAGCACGTCGTGGTTTTTTTTTTTTTTACTTGTAAACTTCTGTGTTTAAAAGTTGTTAAAAAAACAAAATGAGGCAGGATGTGAATTTAAAAAAAACCCCCACTATGACTTCACATCCTAAACATCTGTGTTTTGTATGGAAGAGAGACCAACTGAACTTAAAATGGGGACATGCAGTACTTTCATGTAATGCCAATTTATACTAAGGGTAATCCTTATTTAACCAGGTAAGTTATTAACAACAATCTTACTCACACTGTGGGCTGAGCAAAGGGCAAATCCTTGTGAGGAAGTGAGTAGAATTAAAAAGAAATATTCAAATTAAGAGCAGCAGAACACATTTCAAAACTCTCTCAGGTAAAAACACTGTCCCTGCTGGTTTAAAAACATGTGGTTACATTCCCCAGAACGTAATCGTCACACTAGGAACTTTTCATGTGTCCGTTTGTCCCCTCAGATCTTCTGTGTGTCAGTCAGAATGAGGAAGAGGAGCTCTGTAACCAGGAGAGAAACTCCCGTCTGGACCAGGAGGATCCAGAACCTCCACAAATCAAAGAGGAAGAGGAAGAGCTCTTCATCAGTCAGGAGGGAAAGCAGCTCCTACTAAAGGAGGAGATCGATACTTTTATGGTGACTCCTGCTTATGAGGACAGTGACCTCAGCGAGTCAGAATCAAACTGTGATCAGCTCCTCTCTCCCAGCTCTCCTGAAACTGAGAGCTTGAACGAAGGAAGCTTTGATGTAGCCTCAGGATCAACTAGAAATGCGGAGCTGAAACCAAAGCAGAGCCGTCACAGAAACAGTGACAGCAGTTTAGACTCTGTCAGTAAATGTGACGTTTGTGGGAAAGACTTTCAGGATGACGGGAACCAACACAGAACCTCAGAGAAGCCGTACGCTTGCAGCACCTGCGAGAAAGAGTTCTATCAGCTTTATGTAATGAAGTATCACCAAAGTGGCATCGCAGAGGAGAAGCCGTTTTCTTGTGAAACATGCGGGAGAGGTTTCCGAGCTCGAGATAAAATGTTGATTCACATGAGAATCCACACAGGCGAGAAGCCCTACCTTTGTAATGCCTGTGGGAAAAGCTTTTCTCAGTCATCGGCGTTGAAACGGCATGCGTTAATTCACTCGGGAGAGAAGCCGTATTCCTGCAAAATATGTGGGAAAACCTTCTGTCAGAGTAGTGATTTGACCGTCCACAGCAGAATCCACACGGGTGACAAACCGCACATCTGTAAGAGCTGTGGGAGAAAGTTCTCTGATGCTTCAGCGTTCAAACGGCACACGGCGATCCACACGGGCGAGAAACCGTATTCCTGTAAACTGTGTGGAAACAGCTTCAGGCAGAGTGGCCATTTGCTGCGACACATGAAGATCCACACAGGCCAGAAGGACTACTCTTGTACAATATGTGGCAAAAGTTTCACTCAAAGCGGCGGTTTGAATGTCCACATGAGGATTCACAATAGATAGAGACCGTACTCTTGCAAAGTGTGGGAAAAGCTTCATCAATCGTCGTAACGTGTCTGCACACATGAGAATATAAATTTGTAGGAGAAGGAGTCCTGCCAGACACGTGGGAAGAGTTTCACTCAGTGTTAGTTTAACAGCCCACAGACTCTCAGGAGGAAAGTCAGGCCTGTAATGTCTGAGTGGAAAATACGTCTGGGAACAGAAGTCGTTAAGTAGAGCTTTCAGTTTTTAAGCGATGTATAGCAGGCTGTGCTCGATGAAGCTGCCTGGGCCTGGATCAGTGTGTCAGACTGCACAATCAATCTTCGTCAAATTGTCCAGTAGATGTGGTGAATCTGTAATAAGTGCATTTCAGTTTTTATTGAATGGGTCTTATTGAAACGTGGATGTTTGTAAGGGCGTATGATGATGTCATGGATTCAGTGGGTTGTACTCTGAGGCCTGTACAACATTTAAAATGTTGTCAGTGTGCTTTCTGCAGGCAGATCTAACGTTCAAACGATTTTCAGATGACTGCATTCTGTGTTACATCGCTCCTGTTTCACATAGTTTTATGTCTGTACAGAGCACGTTGTCTCAGCTTGTTCCTGTGTGCAGTGTTTGTGATTGGGACACGCAGCTGAGGCAATATCAGATGTAGACGTTGGATAACAATCATTCTTTTAGCACCAGTTACTCAGGTTCATTCACCTAACAGTAATTTATACTCCAAGTATCACCTGGTGTCATAATAGCAGTAATTGTATAACTTTGTTGTATTGCAAGGGTAACTGAAGCTACACAACAGGAGTGAAGGAGGTCAAAATGAAGAAGATCTTGTTAAATGTGTGAGGTGTTAATGTTTCATCTGAAATTAAGGACTTGAAAACCTCTGTTAATGTTTCTCTCTCCTGAACCTGCTGGTAGAACATGGTGAACTGATAAGGACCACGGTTTACCCACCTCTGTGTACTTAGAGGGCCTGTAACTCTGAAAATACTTAAAGTACGAGTGTTGCATGGTTTATTTAAACGTACTGAGCTATTGTACAGAAAAACTGATTATGAGTCAAGTGTGAAGTTTTCCAGATTTTATATGAAATATAAATGATGTTGTTTGGTTTTGCGTTATGTTTCCATCTGAGGCACCTGATTAAAATTTGCACATTGTAGTCAGCCTGTCTGTTTCCGTTTTGTCAGGGTTTAGTTCCTCCTGCTGGTCAAAGCCCAAAATTACATTTAAAAGTAATAAAAAGAATGAAAGATGCTGTGCATTATTAGCATCAGCCTGCATTTTAAACCAGCATTAAACAAATATGAAAACACCTTTAGAGCTGTCTTTTTATTACCTTGACATGACTGTAAATGTTTTTAATGACAGAAACATGAAGTCTGACTGGTGCGAAGGTTTTCTGCTGCCAGAAGAATCGGATCAAAAAGATTAAATGTAAGTGAAAATCACGTGAGTCATAAACTAAAACAAATTCCTAAAAGTCTGGATGGGCTGTAAAATGTAAAAACAGGTCACATTACAATAGAACATAGAAAACATGTCAAATGTCCATCCATCCATTCGCTTCTGCTTATCCAGGGCTGGCTCAGCCTCAGCAGAGAAGCCCAGACCACGCTCTCCACCACCACCACCTCCAGCTCGTCTCGGGGAACACCAAGGCGCCCTCAGGCCGGCCGTGTAAGTTCAAGTTCAGCTTGGTCTCTGTGCATGAGACCGTTCTGAAATACGAAAGGTCTCTGTGACGAAAAAGACATTTTTATAATGAGCATGTAATGAAAACCTCGGGTTGTGGGTTGAATCACACACAAACCTTGTTTCATGAATCTGACACATTGTAAGGCAGGAAGAATATCACCAGTTCTTCACATGTGTCAAACAGGGTGCGTGAATCTAACAAAAGGCGCTGATTTCTTTTTCAATAAGCGACGGTCTCAGTTCCTCGTTCATTTTCTTGTCACGTCTCATTTTTATACCAAGAATTTGAGCTGCTGACATTTTAAATATTAGAAAAGTTAACAGCATGATGTTTAAATGTATTTTAGATATTTTCTAAAAACTGAAGACAGTATTTTCACAGAGATACACTGACTGAACTTTTCCAGTATTGACATCAGCACCTATGAAATGATTTATTCATCACTATGAGGAAGAAACTGAATCGTTCTTTTATGTTCAAAGTAAGTAAAACAATAAATAAAAACAGGACTTTATTTCTTTGCAGTCGTCTTGTGAAACACAGAACAGCTCAGAGCTGAAAATACTAGATCAGCCCACAGACTGAGCTGTTGTCAGGACACTTGACCCGGTTTCTGTCATCAGACTAATATGCAGTCCAAACACGGGGTTGGTGCATTCATAACTCCTCTAGCAGCGCTCTGACTCTGGGTGATGGACATTTCAATCACAGATGATTTCTCCATCATCTGTGATTTGATGTTTCAGCTCTGTGGCGTCCCGCCTGGAAGCTTCCCCGTTCTCCACTCTGTGGTTCTCGTGTCGACCGGCAGGTTGCTGCTGCTTCTGAAACTTTTCCCACACATCCCGCAGGAAACGGCTTCCTGCCCATGCGAGTCCTCATGTGGACCTTCAAGCTGCCGCTCTGAGTGAACCGTTTCCCGCACAGTTAACAAGAATACAGCTTCTCTGCGTGGACTCTCATGATCCTCTCGAATGGCGTCATGAAGCTGAACCTCTTCAGATTTTTTTTTCCAGATGTAGTTTCTCCCACATGTAGATTCTCACGTGGCTCGCTACGCTCGAGTGATTTTGGAGACACTTCCTGCATGTTTTGCAAATATACAGCTTCACACCGGTGTGGATCCTCAGGCGAGCCGTTAAATCGCTGTTCTGACTGAAACCCTTCCCACAGAATTCACAGGAGCACAGTTTCTGTGACAAACTCATCAGGAAATGATTTACTGAGGTCAGAGGTCAAGAGCAGAGCAGGTTCATTTTCTTGCTTCCTTTTGCATGTGAGGAGGCGCCCCCTGCTGTCTATTAGTCAAAACAACATTTCAATCTGAGCTTCAGAAGAATGAAGCTGCTGAGTGCCCAACGAACGATGAGCTGTTTCTCACATGGAGGCCACAGCAAAACATCTGTAAACGTGTGGGCTTAGTGATGAAACAGCAGGAGACGCCATGTTTGACTTAAGCGCTCGCGAGTGCGATGAAGGATCCCAGAGAGCCGACTGTTGGTTTGTGAATCATTTATTAAAGAAAACGTCCAGAACTCGAGTGTCACTTTAAAAAACCTGAACAAGGAAAAGATGATAAAACATCTTCAAAACATCAGACGTATCAATCTATGTACAACTAATGCATTTATACATGATTAATAAAATAAAGAAAGCTGAAAGGACATGCACAGTTACTCAGTAACAAACTCATTTAGAATTTAGAGCTTCGGTCTTTAATTCACCTCATTTATTAAAACAAAAGAAAAAAGAACGGAATATTTACAATTTTTTTCCAATCTGTTTCTAGTATTGATATCAGGAACTACACACGTGGTGCAAACGTGTAAGCTTTTCCTCCAGGACCTCAGAGAAACTCAAAGATGGCCTCACAGCTCGCTCTGTTAGTCTGCATTTATAGACTTGGTCGAAAGTTTTTTTTTACTGGCACAAATTTGCTGTTTTACATGATTTTATGATGTAATCGAGAACCATCGGGAACATTTCACATGTTTAAAAGAATTTTATTGCCAAATAAATCAAATGTATGTAAATCCCAGGAGTTTCCTGGTCACAGATCCAAAACGTTCATTTGATTCTCCTCCGAGCGACTTGGTATCACTTTCTTGTGATATGCTGGAAAACGTTCAGCTGGTCATCGACTGACAGTTTGGTCAAACCTTAAAAAGCAGGTGGAAGAGCAGAAGCTCACAAACTGATCCTGGAGCTGTGATAAAGCAGGAACAATCAGGATTTGACCCAGAAGCTGAGCTGCAGCACACGTTGCCTCTGCAAACACCGACTCGTTCAGCAGTTTATTTGCAAATAAAAATCTTTGAAACGTATGAAATGCTTGTGACTGACTTCGAAACATATTTTTCCCCAAAGATATTCGTGCAGCTTTCTTGAAGCCTGAAACACAAGTTTGCTGTATTTCTGTGACATTTAGTGCAAATCTTGCTTGAACACAACTTCTTGTGTGGAGTGACAGTTTACAACCTACAACTATGTGTCACACGTGTGCAGCTTCACGTGTGCGGATCCTGGGAAGCTTCAGCATTTGGGACTTTTTCATAAAGTTTGTTTTACCCACTTCACATTTTGCAGACTTTTTTATGCTGACTCTTGGACGTGTGAGAGTTTTCTACAGTTTCTTTCATTGGCCTTTCTTCTGCGCTTCCTTCTTTGTTTCTCGTCCACGTTTGCGGCTGATCCTGACCTCACGTGCTTGCTTCCTATCAGACTCCAGTTTGGGGAGCTGTGAAAGCGAATCTGGCCATCGTTTGGTTCCTGTTCTCTATGTTCCTCATAAACAGGAGTCACCACAAAGCTCTCGGTGTGACGCTTCAGTGCCGACTGCACTCCCTCCCTCCTGAGTTTGTGCTGTTCTTTGATCTGTGGACGCTTTGGTTCTTGCTGATTGGACAACAGTTTCTTGTGTTTTTGTTTAACATGAGGAGGCCCTGGTTCCTCCTGGTTCAGGCTGCAGTTCCTCTCCTGGTTACAGAGATGCTTTTTAGGAAGAACCTTCTCTGCTGCAGTGACGTGGAGCTGTGGGTGGTCTGCAGGGACAAGATAAATGTTAGTAACAGTCCATAAATAAGCACAGAGTACAATCCTGACCTAGCAGGTGATTTAAACTTCTGTGTTGGTGTTTGAGACCTTGTGGTCGCGTCTCGGTGTGTCATATAAGCTGTGCCAGCCGTCAGAAGCAAATAAAATGCCAGGGCATTATTCTGCCTCCCTACTCTGCTGGGGAAATTTTAAGAGGTAAACGTATTTGACATATTCTTCCACATCTTTGTAAATGCTCTTGCGTCCATTCCAACAGACAAGCTCCCTCCAGGAGCTTCAGGGAATCTTTATTTTGAGATGATAGTGATTATTTTCTGATTAATTCAAAACCTTTGTTGAAAAAGTAGCTGGAAGTTCACAGGAGGAACTGATGTGACTTGGGTTTCAGAGAGATCTGGTTATAACATACCTGCAGAGTAGATTTAATACAGTACAGAGTACAAGTACAGATCTGCTAAGTGCAGGTACTAGTTTCCTTCTGATCCAATTTCACAAACCAAACACACAAAAAAATACAAAAGTCCTAATGACACTTTTCTACTCTACAACATGTCTCCTTCACCCATTCTGTCACACACACTTTTCTGCACCTATCCAACAGTCAGCAGCTCAGGTTCAGCATCCTGCCCACAGACACTCTGGAGCAGAGGGAACCCCCACCCTTCTGGTTAGCAGGTGAGCTGCTGAGCTACACCACCCAGCTGTGCTGTATTATCACTACAAGTCTGGCGTTAGAAGCTGTGACAGACTCGGTGAGTTACGGTGATTTCTACAAGTGTACAGACCTGAGGAGCCCGCTACCGCTAACCAGCCGGAGCCACGTTACCTCCCTGTGGGCATGCTGAGCCGTCAGCGTCTCTGCAGCTCTGACCTCAGTCTGATCTTTCTAAAAGCTGAAGGTGTCTGCTTTTAACTCCGCATTTCTCATATTATTGTTATCATTATTAATATTACTATTGTTACTTTGGTCTGCGAGGATGACATAAAGAGCTCGGAGCTCCCGCAGGCTCACACTCATTCATCCCGGTTAGCCTACCGATCCTCTGAAGCTTGATCTCCGGCTTCCAGAAGCTCTCCAGCAGCCTGCGCTGCCGCTCGATGTCCTGCTCGTATTTGACGATCGTGTTTTCAAACACCGTGAAAATTTCATCCACGGCGGCAGACAGCCGCTCGTTGACAAAGTTTATCAGAAACTCCACTGTGGACATTTTTACTTTCGATTAAACGATCAGCACAAGTCCTTCTACAGTTCCGGATTCT